TGCTGCACCTCCTCCTCTTCTTCCTCTGCATCATTGGCCTCCTCTCCCCCATTCACAAGGGAGGATTGCCTTGTGGTTGTGCTGCCGCTGCTCAGCTCCAAAGGCAGCTCCACATGCTCCAAACCGGAACTCTTCACCTCCCCAAACCGCACGCCTATCTTCGCCTCATTCTCCGCCTTCCAATCCTTGTACATGAAGTTCTCCATGAACTTGCAGTCCCTGCTCACCAAGAACTTCTTGGTGAATGGGTCCCAAAGAAGCCATCCCTTGCTGTTTTGAGCCATGCCCAAGTGCACGGCCCACACCGCCTTGGCACCAAGCTTGTTGTGCCGAAGATGCTTAGGCACGAGCGCCATGCACATGCACCCGAACACCCGAAGCATATCCACCTTTGGCTTCCTTCCTAGCCACTCCACATAGGGCACCCATTTGTCTGCTCCCACATGAGTCAAGGCTCTGTTCTTGGCCACACACGCGCTCCGCACCGCATCAGGCCAGAAATAGTCGGGTAGCCCGGCTTCAATGAGCAACCCGCGTGCCGCCTCCGTGATTGTGCGGTTCGCTCGCTCGGCGATGCCGTTCATTGCAGGGGAGTATGGCATGGTGAGGGAGTGCCGAATACCATTCTTCTTCAGCCACAACCCAAACTCCTTGCTCAGGAACTCTCCCCCTCGATCGGTGCGGATTGACTTGACTAGACGGTCTTGTTGCCGCTCCACCATCGGGAACCAATCCGTCTTCAACGTTTCAGCCACGTCGCTCTTCTTGGCCAGCACGTACACCCAAGTCATGCGGGTGTAGACGTCGACAATGGTGAGAAAATACTCAGCTCCAGCAGCTCCAAGCTTCAGGGGGCCCACCACGTCCATCACCACCTCATCAAGCGGTGCCTTTGCCGTTGCCTCCGAACTAGGGAACGGAAACCGGGTGAACTTGGCTTGAATGCACGTCGGGCAGCCAAGCACCTCATCGGGCTCCCCCTTCACACGTATGCCAGCAACCATCTCATTCTTCACTAGCTGCTGCAAGATGGGCAGGGCCACATGCCCCATGCGCCGATGCAAGGTGAGCCAATCACACTCCCCCGTAGCCGAAGTTGGATTGGAGAATGCCGCGCTCGCAATAGCGCCCCACATACTCTCTCCGTAGTCCTCCTCCGCTGCTGCCTCTGGGTTCTCCTCACCCTTTTGCTGCTCTTTGGTTGCTGCACCACTCTCCTTAGGTTCACTGAACTTGCTGGTCTCTCCAGGTTTGCTCTTCTTGAGCTCATTTTCCTTAGCGCGACCGTTCGCGCCATCGTCGCTACCGACCGCTCCATCCTTGGTGCTGATGCTTGCTGCCACTTGCCTCTCCTTAGGCATAGGGACCACTGGGATCTGCCACATCTCGTTGTAAACATCCCTGTCCTCATGAAGGTCCCAAAGAATTCGATCGCCAAGCCTTGCAGTGTAGGTCTTGGCTCCCTTCGAGTTCGTGTCCATGCCGGCCTTTGCCAACCGCCGCACGGAAATCAGGTTTGCAGCAAGGCTGGGCACCCAAAGCACGTTCTTGAGGCCCACCATCTTCCCATCAGCACCCTTGAACATGGCCTTGCCCATGCCTTTCACCTCTGCTCGCTGCCCCAAAGCCGATGTGACATGCTTCACCGGTGACGGCTCGAGTTCGGTGAGCAAGTCCGGGCGAGGTGTCATGCTATAGGTAGCGCCACTATCAATCACCCAATAGTCCAGGGGGTGTAGGGTCACCTTCCCCACAGCTGCTGGCTCCTCAAAGCCTTCATCCTTCTCTGGACCAGCCGGTACTTACGTCGACACGAAGTAGAATAGACCCGGGTATCGATCGTCGCTCGGGTCCTTGTCGTTGTCTCCGCTCTTCATGTTTGCAGCTCCGCCACCGCGACCGCCACGGCCTCCACGGCCTCGTCCTCTCCTTCCTCCTGCTCCTCTACCCTCTTGGCCTTGAGCAGGGGTCCAACCATCAGGGAGTTTGTAGCAGTCGCGCCACATGTGTCCGCTCTTGTGGCAATAGTGACACTCGCCGTCGAATCGGCCGCGACCGCGTCCGTAGCTCTTGTCGTCGCTGCCGTAACCGCCACTCCTGCGGCCTCCGCCGAAGTTGCTGCCACCAAACCTTCCTCCCCCTCGTCCTCTGCCTCTTCCTCGACCATATCCACGGCCGATGCTCGCTGCCCCAGCGCCATCCGCACTCGCCAACTCACGGCGGCGGAAATCCTCTTGAAGGATAGCTCGCTTCACGTCTTCAAGCGAGAGGCGGGGCAAGTCGCGATTAAGGTTGATGATGAGCGAGGACCATGACTCTGGGAGTAAGGCCAGCAACTTGGTCTTCTTTTGGAGCTCACTGTAGTTCAAATCAGCTCCCTCAAGCCGCGTCAACAAGTCGAAGAATTTCTGCACCCCTTCTTCAACCGCTTCGTTTTCTTCAATTCGTAGTGCCGCCATTTGCCGTTCCAACACTACCGCTACCGCCGCTGTTCCAGGAGCATGTACACCCTTGAGAGCAGCCCATGCCTTTGGTCCTTTCTCTGGTGGAATGGCTTGATGTGACGGATCTGACTGCTCCCCAACGCTTGCCCAAGTAAGAGATAGCCTTGTGCGCTCTTCCGCACCCACGGGCTCTTCTCTGGGTTGTTCTCGGGGCGCTTCTCCGTTCCTTCCATCACCTCCAGCAGGTCATAGTGGTCAAAGATGTTCTCCATCTTGAAGGACCATTCAGCAAAGTTGTCACCGTTGAACTTGTCAAGCCCAAACACCCTAGGCTCATCCCTAGGTGGGCCAAGACTTGGTTGCATGGGCGCCATGGCTGAATCACGGGGTTGGCCTTGAGCTTGAGCTTCTCCACTGCCACCAGCACCTCTGCCACCCCTTTCCTCAGGTCCAGACATTGTCGAAACTGCTCCAAGGGCCTCTGATACCACTTGTTATAGTCACAATAGGCTTGAATGTGCCTAAAACGAAAGATAGAGAGCACAGACGGATTTCTGCACAGCGGCTTCAAACGTTGATAGCGTTCTGCTCACAGCTGCAAATGACTTGATTCAAATTGGATCTGGAGCGTCTTCACGTCGTCTACAATTAGCAATTTAGATTGCACGATTTGATAAAGAATTGACGACACAGCGTCGGTTTGAACGAACGGTACTATGGCAGCCACTATAGTCTTAGAACACAAGATAGGAAGAGTTACGAGTTGGGAATGACTCCCAGCTCCTACAAACCCCAAGAGCCGAGGTACAGTGATGTGGAACAGTGCCACACTGTCCCCAACCACGAAGGGTCTCGAAACTACCCTTCACTAGGGCCTACACCAAGTGAAATGTTACACTACACAAAGTAATGTAACTATCTTCAATATCTTGAGGTGTACCCTTTTGGCAAGCTTCGAAATCACTTGAGGCTTGACACCAAGGCTCGGGCTCTTCATCACAAACTCATCCTTGAGTTCTTGATGGGTCTGCTGCACACACCTGCGACACGCCGAACGTTCGACACAGGACAAAATAGAAACCGCGCACGACAAAATAAAAACCGCGCGCGAGACACAAACGACCGCGTAACACGCGTCTAGCGATAACTCGCTATTGACTCGACACACACACTCGACATCATGACTCAACATTCACACACAATTATAAGCATGAAATATATATTATCCCATGCCCTCATACCATTCCATACACACACACATTCACGCACACGGACAACAAGCCGAGTGCAAACCGTAGGGTTGCACCAACAGCCTCAAGAGTTCAACCACATATATGTGGCTTCCCACTTCACTAGGAATTATCCTTGGACAAAGACCTTGCTCTAGTCTTTAAGACTTATACCATTTTCTTGCTAAGGATATTTCTTCTTCCTATCGTGCCATAAGTTCACCGATCCATTTTCTTCAAAACGTATTGGCAAGAGGTTGATTGACAGGACCCATGCATTGATACAGGCTGCCTTGTACCCCGGAGGAACTACTAGAGCAGAGGTTAATAAGGGGGATAGGAGATAGGGCGGGAAGGTAGTACGGAGTGTGGGAGATGGTTCGTGCCACGGTGCCGCGATACGGACTGACTTGCACCTTGGAGGAGCTACTGGAGCAGAGCCACATGCTGGTGGAGGAGAGGTGAGTCAAGGGAGGTGTGTTTGAAACACATAGGAGGAAAAGTGAAGGCTTGGGATGCTTTGGGTTGGCTCGTGCCATGGTGCAGCGATGTTGACTGCCCTGTACCCTGGACGAGCTATTAGAGCAGAGCCAAGTGCTGGTGGAGAAGAGGTGAGGGGGATGAGATCATGAGACATAGGGTAGAGGGTGGGTGGGATGAATAGGACATGGGTTCGTGCCATGGTGCAGCGATACGGGCTGCCATGCGCCCTGGAGGAGTCACTAGAGCAAAGCCATGTGCTGGTGGAGGAGAGGTGAGTCCGGGGGACGGGGCATAGGGAGGGAAGGGAGCGAGGTGCATGGGGCAGGGCCTGTATTGCAGTGCGGAGGAGCTGCACAGAAAGACATGTATGTGAGGGGTGCTGAGGGGTACAAGCTCACATGTGATGAGACACAGTGGACACAGTGGGTTGGGTACGAACTGTTAGCCTGCGCCTTCTCCACACCCCTGCATTTGCAGATGGAGTCAAGTCAAACCCAGCCCAGCCAAGCCCCTCCCAGGCCCGCACTGCCTGATTGATGCAGCACCCTAAGTGCATGGAGGCGCATAGAGGGTTCCAGCTGTTGTTGCCTGTGACTTATCCATTTCCACTGCATGTGCAGGTGGAGTAAAGCCAAGCCCATCCCAGGCGCCCATCGCCTTACTGATGCAGGTGAAACAACCTGTGCAGGCGCAGCACCCCAAGTGCATGTACACAGGCACCAGCAGCACCTCAAGGCCATGTGATGAGACAATCCAAGCTGCACCCCAATTGCATTGGGGGCGCAGCACCCCAATTGCATTGACTGTTGCCTCCCCCTTATCCACCCCCTTTCCCTATGTGCAGGTGGAGTCAAGCCAAGCCCCTCCCAGGCGCCCACCGTCTGATGCAGCACCTCCAGGCATGCGGCATCCCCATGGCCGTTGCTTCCAGCTCCCCTCGGCGCAACGTCAACATCAAGCTCTCTTTCCATGCAGGTCAGTCGTGCGTTGGTTGACTGAATTCCAATGTCTGATGCAGCACCTTCAGGCGTGCGGCATCCCCATGGCCGTTGCTTCCTGCTCGCCCAGACGCAACGTCAACATCAAGTTCTCCTTCCATGCAGGTCGGTTGCAAGCTGTTAGGTAAATTATAGGTTAATTCTGAAAAATCTCAACATCAAAATACAACAAAACGACAAGTTTCAAGCTGCAGCCTGCTGCTGCTGCTGCTGCTGCTGCTACTGCCATGCCAGTGAGTGGAAACTTCTGGGATTCTTAGAAGAGTAGCAGGGTGCAGCAGCAGCATCTCACAGCATGCGGCATGCGGGGCGTTTGCAAGCTCTTATGCCATAAATCTTTCCGCCCATATGTAACCGTACCTCTCTGCCCTTCCCCTTGCAACAAGCAGGATGGACAGAGATGCTGCAAGTGCTGGTGGGAGGGGACGAGGTGCAGCATGGCGAACCAACTGTGCCCTCATGTGTAACATCCCTGATGCATGCACTTGCCTTACCCACTCCCTCCACTCTATCCCTCCCTCTCTCTGAATCCCCTTGCAACGACCAGGATGGACGGACATGCTTCAAGTGCTGGTGGGAGGGGATGAGGTGGAGCATGGCAAGCCGCGCCCTGACATGTGAGAATCTGTCTGTGTATGTGACGTGCATGAGATAATCCACCTTTTGCGTGCCTTGGGGTTTTGCATGTCTTTACGCTCCGCCTTCTGGTTTTGAGACGTCTCTAAACGGCGCCCTGACATGTGAGTGTTTGTGTGCCTGTGTGACGTTCATAAGCCAATCCACCTGTTATGTCCATTCAGTTCTTGCACGTCTCAAATTCTATCAGCATTATTTTCTGTCGACCTTCTTGCTCGTCTCATGGCCATGATGCTTGCCGCCTTAACGTTTTTGAGGCGCCTCAAAAGTCGCCTAAAAAATAGGCACCTTAAAATGTCGCCCCAAAAGCTTTTGAGGCGCCTCAAAACTCGTCCCATGGACATGATGCTTCCCCCATTTGCACTTCTTCCCCTCTTTCAGATTCTTGAGACGTATCAAAAGCCAAGCAGCTAAGTCGATGTGTACCTGGAAAACCTGACCATGATTACCCCCCTACCCGGATGTACCTTCTTTTTCTTTCAGATTCCTTCGTGCAGCTGAGCTGATGGGCGCCTCTCCCTCTCACTGCCTCGTTGTGGAAGATGCCCCGTGAGTAGGCTACCTCCCCCTATTGCGCCTTGTACTTGCACTATTGCGCCTTGTACTTGCACTATTGCGCTCCTCACATCTCTTCCCTCACCTCACCCCCGCCCCCTCCCTTCTCCCTCTCACCGCCTCGTTGTGGAAGATGCCAAGTAGGCTACCTCCCCCTCTCACCCGTCTTAGTTGCGTCAGTCATTGCGCTGCTCGCATCTCTTCCCTCACTCATACCCCTCGTCTTTCCTGCTCGCTGCCTCGTCTCCCTTCACTCCTCACTCTCTCCTCTCCTCTCACGCCTCCCTTCCCCTCCTGCTGTCTTGTCGGCCGCAATACCTCTCATCTCTCCCGTATCCCTCCTGCCCCTCGTTCCCACCAGAGCAGGGGTTGAGGTGCTATTGCAGCAGGCATGTGGGTGCTCGCCTCGCAGTGCCCTCTCTGCCGAATATGACCTGTGTGGTGTCTGTCTTGACCCTCGCTCCACCGTCCAGCCCTCTCCTTTTCTCCCGTTCCCTCCTGCCCCTCATTTCCACCAGAGCAGGGGTTGAAGCCGCCGTTGCAGCAGGCATGTGGGTGCTCGCAGTGCCCTCCCTGCCGAATAAGGCCGCCCGGCCACTGTACTCTGCCGCCCACCAGCTGCTGCCCTCTTTGTTGGACTTCCAACCACAGCACTGGGGGCTCCCTCCTTTCTCCGACTGTAAGAACCCTCGTTTCTTCTGTCCCTCTAGCTGCTGCTGCTACAGGGATGCGCCAACCACCTGCAGTGACCCACCAGCTGCTGCCCTCTCTGTTGGACTTCCAACCACAGCAATGGGGCCTCCCCCGCTTCTCCGACTGTAAGCGTCCACCCTTCCCCCTTTCCATCTCTCAACACTCTGCCTGCACTGCTCCTGCCGTGCTGACCTGCCGTGCCCCCACCAGCTGCTGCCCTCTCTGTTGGACTTCCAACCACAGCACTAGGGCCTACCCCCTTCTCCGACTGTTAGCTCCCTCTTTCCCTCCATCCTTCTATTGCTACTCCAACTCAATACACTCCACTTCCTCTTTCACTCCCCTGTCCTCTTCCCCCCCTCTTGCTCCCAGGGCTGCACCGCTCTCTCCCCATCACCCCCTGGTACATCAGGGGCGCGTTGTCATGTGCTTTCACTCATTCTCTTCCTCGTACCATCCTCTCTTCCCCCCTCTTTCTCTCAGGGCTGCACCGCTCTCTCCCCATCACGCCCTGGTACATCAAGGGCCCGGTAATCAAGGGATTTGGGCGCGGCTCAAAGGTCCTCGGCATCCCCACAGGTGAGTCATGCTCACCTCTTCCTCTCTCCTCTTACTATGTTTCCTCACGCACTCTCTTTCTCACTCTCTCACTCCCTCTCAGCCAACCTCCCGGCCTGTCATGCTCCTGCCTCCTGTCTGTCATTGTTTTCTGCAATGACTCAAAACTTGTTTCTTGAGACGTCCCTAAATTTGTTTCTTGAGACCTTTCAAACCTTGCTGCTTGAGACGTCTCAAACCTCCTGGCCTGTCAGTCTCCCATCTCATGTCTGTCATCGTTCAATCCCTCACTTTCACTCTCTCTCAGCCAATCTCCCAGCCTTGTCTTTCACTGAGCATCTAGCAGAATACGTGTGTGGGAGTGTGCGATTGATTTAGATGCTCCCATTTGCTGCCTCGCCTCTACCGCTGAAGGGGATAGGCCCTAGGCCTCAGAACCTCGGTGGGGGCGACTTCTGTAGTAACTGACCGACTCGCTGAAAGTGACGTCCTGAAAGGCGAAGAACTGGCGGGTGAATGGGTCGTAGAACGCCCAGTCGGAGGAGTCGAGTGGGAAGCCAAGAAAGACGCAGGCACGGGTGCGCGCAGACAACTTGTTTGCGCCAGGGGCGCAAACGTGAGCCAGGGAACCCCAGACGCGGTAGTCAGGGCGGCATCTACCATGGGTGGGCAGGGCTCAGCTTCCGCTCTTCTCTCCATTATTCTTTTATCCCCCCACAAATGGGTAGTTTGTAATAAACTCACATGCTCCCTTGTTCCCTTGCTCCTCCCATTCTCCTGCAGCCAACCTTCCAGCCTCATCGTTCACGGGGCATCTAGCAGAGCACGTGTGTGGCATCTACCATGGGTGGGCAGGGCTGAAGGGCAGGGGCGTGTTCAAGATGGTTATGAGCGTGGGTTGGAACCCTTTTTTTAACAACACACACAAGACTGTGGTGAGTAGGTTTGTACACATGTAAGCATGCATGTGCATGTCTGTGCATGAGCAGGGGCGTGTTCAAGATGGTGATGAGTGTGGGGTGGAACCCCTTCTTTAACAACACACATAAGACCGTGGTGAGTACGTCTGTGCGTGTGCTCATGAACTTCATGTGTGTGTTGGCGTGTTCAAGATGGTGATGAGTGTGGGGTGGAACCCCTTTTTCAACAACACACACAAGATTGTGGTGAGTGGCGAGTGTTTGTGCATGTGTGCGTATGTGCATGTGGGGTGTGTGGGCGAGTGTGTTTTTGAGTCGACTCAAAAATAGGCTCATCACACACGGACTTTATGTTGAGAGAATTTTTGTTGCTTGGACAATTGGGTGTAGCTTATTAAAGCTTTTGGTGCGCGCGCGACTACCGAAGTCGTTACATGGCGAAAGGTTGGACTCTGCTCCCAACGATGACACCCTCGAGGGTTGAAGACGTGGCTCTTGGTGTTCACCAGAGCTACCTGGATTGGTCCCGAACTTTTTGGAACGGGCCAGGGTGTAGATAACCTTGAGTTTTGTGTTTCCTGGAGGCGTTAGCTTTTCTTTTTAAGGCTTCTGCTCCACTCTGTTTTTCATTCTCGTAGGCACTGATGAAGGCCTGGTAGGGGATGCCCTCCAGCCGAAACATGTTTGTCTTGTTTTAATTTTTGTTAACGAGAAGAGTTCCGGTTTCACAGACTCTCGGCTATCAGCTAGTGTTTAGAGTTTCACTGTTTTTCCTACTTGCTTAAGCTTAAACCTGGCACTGCTGCTCACTGGAATTATGTCAGAGGGGTGTGTGGGCGAGTGTTTCTGTGTGTTTGTGCATGTATGTGTGTGTGTGCATGTGCATGCATGTGGGCGTGTTCAAGATGGTGATGAGTGTGGGCTGGAACCCTTTCTTTAACAACACACACAAGACTGTGCTGGGTGCGTGCGTGTGTGTGCGTGTGGGTGCATGTGGGTGCATGTGTGCAACTGTGTATGCATGTGTATGCATGTGTATGCATGTGTATGCATGTGTATGCATGTGTATGCATGTGTATGCATGTGTCTGCATGTGTATGCATGTGTATGCATGTGTATGCATGTGTATGCATGTGTATGCATGTGTATGCATGTGTATGCATGTGTATGCACGTGTATGCATGTGTATGCATGTGTATGCATGTGTGTGCATGTGTATGCATGTGTATGCGTGTGTATGCGTGTGTATGCGTGTGTATGCATGTGTATGCATGTGTATGCGTGTGTATGCGTGTGTATGCATGTGTATGCATGTGTATGCATGTGTATGCATGTGTATGCATCTGTATGCATCTGTATGCGTGTGTATGCGTGTGTATGCGTGTGTATGCGTGTGTATGCGTGTGTATGCGTGTGTATGCATGTGTATGCATGTGTATGCATGTGTATGCATGTGTATGCATGTGTATGCGTGTGTATGCGTGTGTATGCATGTGTATGCATGTGTATGCATGTGTATGCATGTGTATGCATGTGTATGCATGTGTATGCATGTGTATGCATGTGTATGCGTGTGTGTGCGTGTGTATGCATGTGTATGCTTGTGTATGCATGTGTATGCATGTGTATGCATGTGTATGCATGTGTATGCATGTGTATGCATGTGTATGCATGTGTATGCATGTGTATGCATGTGTATGCATGTGTATGCGTGTGTATGCGTGTGTATGCATGTGTGTGCATGTGTATGCATGTGTATGCATGTGTATGCATGTGTATGCATGTGTATGCGTGTGTATGCGTGTGTATGCGTGTGTGTGCGTGTGTATGCGTGTGTGTGCATGTGTGTGCATGTGTGTGCATGTGTATGCGTGTGTATGCGTGTGTATGCGTGTGTATGCATGTGTATGCGTGTGTATGCATGTGTATGCGTGTGTATGCGTGTGTATGCATGTGTATGCGTGTGTATGCATGTGTATGCATGTGTATGCATGTGTATGCATGTGTATGCATGTGTATGCGTGTGTATGCGTGTGTATGCGTGTGTATGCATGTGTATGCGTGTGCATGCATGTGTATGCGTGTGTATGCGTGTGTATGCATGTGTATGCGTGTGTATGCATGTGTATGCATGTGTATGCATGTGTATGCATGTGTATGCATGTGTATGCATGTGTATGCGTGTGTATGCGTGTGTATGCGTGTGTGTGCGTGTGTATGCGTGTGTGTGCATGTGTGTGCATGTCTGTGCATGTGTATGCATGTGTATGCATGTGTATGCGTGTGTATGCGTGTGTATGCATGTGTATGCGTGTGTATGCATGTGTATGCGTGTGTATGCGTGTGTATGCATGTGTATGCGTGTGTATGCATGTGTATGCATGTGTATGCATGTGTATGCATGTGTATGCATGTGTATGCATGTGTACGCATGTGTATGCATGTGTATGCATGTGTATGCATGTGTGTGCATGTGTATGCATGTGTGTGCGTGTGTGTTGCCCCCACACCACCCCTTCCATTCCCACGAGTCATGGCTGCTGCATGAATGTGGGGAATCTGTAACTCACCTACTATTACTCCCCCACGCTACCTACCCACTCTACCTCGTTTCTCTCCCCTTCCGTTCCCAGGAGCCATGGCTACTGCACGATTTCAGGGAGGACTTTTACGATGAGGAGCTCAGGCTGGTGCGTGCGTGCACGTGTTCACGTGTACCCCTTTCTCATCCTCCCCCTCCACCCTGCCCTTCATTCCCAGGAGCCATGGCTACTGCACGATTTCGGGGAGGACTTTTACGACGAGGAGCTCAGGCTGGTGGTGGTTGGATATATCCGCCCTGAGGTAAGCTGAGCAACGAGGAGAGCTGAGCAATGGGGTGAGCTGAGAAATGGGGTGAGCTGAGCAACGAGGTGAGCTGAGCAACGAGGTGAGGTGAGCAATGAGGTGAGGTGAGCAACGATGTGAGGTGAGCAACGAGGTGAGGTGAGCAACGAGGTGAGGTGAGCAACGAGGTGAGGTGAGCAACGAGGTGAGCTGAGCAACGAGGTGAGGTGAGCAACGAGGTGAGCTGAGCAACGAGGTGAGCTGAGCAACGAGGTGAGCTGAGCAACGAGGTGAGGTGAGCAACGAGGTGAGCAGTGCAACCTCCTGGTTCACTTGGCCTGTGCACTGCATTCTTTCGAGCAATTTCTGAGACGTTTCTGAAGCAAGCATTGGCAGAGGAGGTAGCAGTGAGGAGGTTTTTGAGGCGCCTCTAAACAATCAAGGAGTAGCGGCGGTAGCTGTTTCGTGAGATGGCAATGACCCATTCCTTGTTTGTCCACACGTTGCATACCATGGGGACAAGGATGAGGAAGAGAAAGGGGGTACACGGTGCATCATCCTTATCCCCATTTTCCCCTCTCTCTCTTCCTCCCATACATTCGCATCCCCCTTCCGACACATCCCCCCCATGCCCTCCATCCGCACGCCCATGCCCTCCTCAACCTTCTTTCCCACCCTTCTCTGTGGCTTGTCACATCCCACTGCAGGCCAGCTTCCCCTCGTTCTGCTCGCCCCCCCTCGTTCTGCTCGCCCCCCCTCGTTCTGCTCGCCCCCCCTTGCTTATCGCTCGCATCTGAGATAGGCCATCCATCACCCAAGCTTCCC